CCAGCACTCCACTCTCTTCTAGGCCCCATTCCCTCTTGTTTTCTCCGTCTAAGAGTATTTTATTTTACGCCAGTACTTTACTGATTGACATCAATCTGGCAAATATCGAAAGCTGTTGGTAAGCTCTGCGATTTTTATCATTTAGAATGGAAAGCAATGCCAACCTCGCACACTTCACAATCTTTGCATCAATGCAACGCGCGCGAGTAATGCATGAGAACCGTTTATAGCCCGATCTCGCGCTCAAGAGTAAATTTACCTTTATTCACCTTGATTGTACGCAAAGGCAAATTTTCGGAAACATTGATCATGCGATCTTGGACATGGGTTAAAAAAAGAAAAAAATTCGTCACCTGAAACGTAACGGAAACAAGAAAGAATGGAAATGTGATAAAAGAAATGTGGCGGAAACACGATCGTTCGTTTCCGTCGCGGAAACATGACGGAACGCGTCCCGTCCATGGAAAACTAGATCACCATGTTTCCGCAGGGCGGAAACGTGACGGATATAAGCAACTTCCCGTTTCCGTCGAGTTTACAAAATACGGAAACACGTTATTTCGTCCTGTGAATGTCAGGGAATGTTTCTTACGCTTTCAACCTTCTCTCGAAGTTGCCATTGCATCCTGCCGTGTTTTGTTCGAAAAACAGGAATGAAATCGATTTTGCAAACTTTTTTTAATTTTTCCTTTAAAATGAATCGTTTGAACCCAAAACTATTTTTCCTTAAATTAGGTCACTAAAAGGGATGTTTTGGCAAAATAATAAAAAATTCGATTTTTTGACGAGTGTCTTGCGATTCTCGATTTTCTCAGAAAATGGCTCTTAACTAGTTTTCACAAGCGACGAGAGTTCGACGTTAGTCGTGTTTAGTCAAGTGTGACGAAGGCAGTGTTTATTCAAGTTGGCGGAGGCCGTGTAAGTTTATCAAGATTAAGTGAAGTTGGCGCAGGCCGTGTAAGTTTATCGAGTTAAAGTGCTGTTGTGGAGTTTTACTTCGTGGAAACTACGTTCATTAGTCGAATAAATCTTCTTGTTGCTGTTCCGACAACCCTGCGTTCAGTTTGGTTTGCAAGCTACCCGTCCTCTAAAAGATTACCCGCGTAACAATTTTGCTTAGTTCTTACTCTTGAAACGAGTGAAATGTCCGCCATTTTTGTTCTCACAACCAACAACTCAACCTCGTCCCCAGGTCTTCTCGGTTAACGGTGAATTAACCTGCCCAAAAACTGCACTTTTGACGTTATCGGTTCATTTAACGCAAAATTCTTCCAAATTTGGTTTTTTGGTTTTGGTGAATTATGCGTGTGCTTTTAGCCGATCAGACTCGGGAAATATTTTGAATGAATAATAAGTAATATTAAACTCAAATCTCTTCATTTCTTTTGAAGAGGTCCTTGAAAGGCAATTCATTTTTCTTTTTAGGGTCGATGTAGGGTCGATGTGGTCGTGGATGGAAAAAACATATAATAAAATGAGGAGGAGGAGGAAAATTAAAAAAATGAGGAGGGAAAAGAACACAATTGTGAGGGAGGAAGAGGGAATTCAAGAATGAGGTTGGAATAAAAAAAATTCAGGAGGAGAAGGAAAAATATTAAAATTGTGGAGGAGGGAATAAAAATAATTGAGGAAGGAAACGTGGTGTAAAAAAAAAAGATAGCTTGCCTCCTTTGATTGTTTTGATAGATTCCTTTTAAATCACTGAGTATTTTACTCTTTTTGCAATCATTAAGGGTCATAGACTGCAAGCAGTCTCTCTTTTTCTTCAGATTTAGTGTGGGAAGTGCACGAGCCTGCGAGCGTCAAGCGACGAAGCCGCAAGACGCGAGAAACGACGGCGTGCCTATCTTGCTTAGCGCCTTCAGTCGCGCGTGTGATAATTTGGGTGTCTCGCGCGTTTTGCTTGACGGACCAAGAAAAGAGAAAGACTGCTTGTAATCTACCTTGGTCAACGCCTCTCGTTTGTCCTCTTTTCTCTGCAGTTCTTAACGCTACAAACAAAAATACTGAAAAACCACCTATGGAATAAAAGCTGTCACCCAAGATAAACACCGCCAGCTACGTGCCGTTTTAGAGGCCAACGCCCTCATTTAAAACGCATACTATTCAGTCAAAACCCGCATTTAAGAACCAAGAATTTTCGGATCGGGCTGAACAGTTTCTTTTATTTCAGGGTACCTTTTGACAAATCAGGCTGATTAGGTTCTTAATAGGTTCTTAATTTTTCAGAGTTTGTTTTAGCGTAGCCATTCACAAAAATATTACTGACTACTAGTTCATAATGGCTTAGAACTAGTTTAAATAACAAACATATGCTTGCAAGCTGAATAATCATAGTCAGAATGCTTGCAGACTAGACAATAACATGCTGAACAAAACATTTTAGGCTATTTATATTGTGCACATCGTGTTAATTGAAATAACTAAAGAAAGCATATAGGCAAGAAGATATTTTTAGAGATTTCACACAGAGTTAAACATCCAGAATTTTGATAATCGAAATCAGGGTGATCTTTTGCATATATAAGAACCTCTTTTCCTCGCCGGGCGGAACAGGTTCTTATAAACTTGAGTTTTAAAATGCCAAATTTCAGCCTAAATCTTTATGTTCTTTTCTGAAGGTTTTTACTGTATTCACTTGTATATGCAACTAATACTGCGCTTATTTGCAAACGACGCTCACCCAGGGGCGGCTCTTATATAAATTATCCCCTTTGAAATTAATACGTATTGTTACTTTTTTCCTTTGTTTGGTTCTCTGGGTGCCAGAGGGTTTCTTCACTTTGTTTTCTAATTATTGATGGATTCTGAGTGTAAGCGGTGTAGCGAGGGGAGCCTCCAGTCAAACCGTGGAGCGAGGTATGTTTCAGGCAAGATTTTATGAGCATACCTCTAGGGCCAACCTTGCTTGGATTTTGGGGAGATATTTAATTTTTTTAACATCAAAGTTTGGTACTTGTTTGAGCACGGCGTTATTTGAGTAAACACCAAAGTAAGATGAAAACTTAACACTCAAATTGATTCCATTTCTTTTTTATCTATCTCAAAGAACGATGCGTAATAGAAAGTGCTTAGTCCGTGTGAATTTATTTACCCTAGCTGACATACGCAAAGGGAGAGGCATAGGATTGATTTTTCCGCACCTAACAGGGTCTAATTATAGTTAGGAATGGACCATTAGAAAAGTGATGGAGGGGGGGGGGGGGGGCAGAGGTTTAAGAGAGCTCGTGTCCGTAGGAATGTTTTTTTGTTAATAATTTCCTGGGGAAATTTTTTTGCTTTTGCCCCACCCCCCATCACTTTTGCTAATGGTCCATCCCGCTTGCGGGCTTTATTCCCTCAAAGATCCCGAGGCCGTTGCGAGAAACGATTTTATACTCTTTGAACTGGTTAAAACTACTTCCGAAGGACTAAGAGTCGTTGCATGGGATTTAGTTGTCTTTAGTTGTTTTTTTTCTGACATTCGTATTCCAAATTAGTTTCCATGCAATCGCTGGTAAAAAGACACATAGATGAGGGGGATGTCACGTTAAGGTGTTCATGTCTTGTTAGTAAAGGACACTGACCAAACAACTTATGATTGAACCTATATACATGTATGTACTGTATATATGTAAGACATGTTCAGCTATTTAAAAATCTATTGGTAAACTCAGGTATTTGCCGCGTTGCGAATTTTCCCTGAAATTAAGTAATGATACAGGAAAAGATTACCCCTTACTTGTCTTGTTCAGAAGGCGCGTTATAAGTAAAAATAGAATAATGTGATAAAGACAGAGACTTCCCCTATCTCGCAACCTTAACCCCATACGTGCACTCTTTACCCGTACAAAGGGAGTATGCATTTTATAAAATATGTTCGCAAATCTACTTGGTTATAATTGATGCAAACTTTCACTCTATGGAAAGCGAAACGATTAAGTGATCGTAAGGCTTAAAAGGGTATAGAGGCGGACAGCGGGAAAAAAATTGTTAATCATACAAAATGGCTCTTGAAATTTTAAGAACCTATTAAACGTCACTTAGTCCCATAAACAACGTAACGAACTCGCTTTCATTCGAGTTGTAAAACTTATTACGTTTATGGTGAGCCAGATTATTACTTTTATGGTTAAATTTTATTACATTTATGGTTAGTCAGTAATTTATTACATTTATGGTTGATTTTTATTACATTTATGGTGGGTATTACTTTTATGGTTGAGGTTTATTACATTTATGGTTAGTATTACATGGATTAACACTAGTCGTGCAAAACAGTTGCAAAGAAATGAACAAAAGAGTGTACTGCAGGTGGAAATTTAAGGGTTTTTTTTTTGCTAATTAGACCTATATATTATTACCGTCTCCGTTACACGATCTTATTAGTTTTCGTTTGAGTAAATTATAAGTCAGTGCATTAACGAGAACTTCGCTTTTATCCCTAGCTAAATCTATGTATTATTTAAAGATACTGACTAGTCCAGATAATAATGAACATGGCATGGTAGAGCAATCAGATGATATTCTAACTGATCTTTTCTGAAATCAGGAAATGAACTTTCTAACCTAATTCGTATCAACCAGACAAAAAACTACTTATTTTGTGTAGAATTTTAAATGTACACAAAATAACTAGTTTATTGAAATAAACAGAAGTGACAAGTGAAGCCCGGAAAACTTGGTCAAGTAATTCCGTTTTAAACAAGAGATAACTTTGAACAATTTCAAACTGAAGATTAGTTCGCAAACAGAATTAAAAGAACAAAAAACAAAACGAAGAACTGGATATTCCAAACTTTATACAACTTAATGATTGTCTTAAAGGTTTCAGGTAGAGGCGTTGCACCTGTGTTCAGAGAAAGGCAAGCACTGAAGATAACTGAAGTCACGAACTCAACGATAATTTATTGCCACCCAACACAGAGAGATATTGAATAACTTACGAGCTTCTTTTTTTCCCCGGTGGGGTAAAACTTGTACTGACCTCTAATTCAGCAACTAAGAGGTATTTAAAATGATATCTGCGAACTCCTCTTTCAGTATGTCAGCCCGTGGGCGTGGCAGACCCAAACAGAATTCCAAATGCTCAAATGACGGCCAGCAGCTACTATAGTTCAAGTTATTACCCACACTACGGTCGACTTAATGAGGTCCGAGGTAATGGAGGATGGTGTCCAAAGACCCGACAAGGTCCCAGAACAGATTATCTTCAAGTTGACCTGGGTACTGTACATTCTGTGTGTGCTGTAGCAACACAAGGAGCAAGCAACATTGACGAACACACCACAAGCTACATTTTGCGGATGTCTAAAGATGGAGTCACTTGGAATACATACAAAGAGAACAATGCCGAGAAGGTGAGATAATGGTTAAACTGTCTATGTAGTCAGCGACTCTCTCTACAATGATCAACTTAGGATATAAAGAGGTCAGGCCGTCATAGAGATAGGGGTAAATGCCGTCCCACCAATCAATGAACGATGCATAATTCTATAAATGCTGATCACAGAGTATAAATAAATTGTAAGTGAAGTTTTTCTGAATCATGTGAACTATATAATTTTATATTTTCAATGTGCAGGTGCTCCAAGGAAACACAGATCGAAATACGATTGTCAAGCACGCTCTTTCTACCGCCGTCAAAGCCAGATTTGTTAGGTTTTATTACGTCAGTTACCACAGCTGGCCTGCAGTAAGAGTTGAAATATATGTTTAGAATATTCAGTATCAAGCTGTTAGAGTAGCTAATACTGAATGTATTGCCGCAACGAGTCAGTGTTTACTCAGATATGTTTTATTACCTACGTTAAGGTGGCTCGACCCAGTATTTTTGAAGGCATCTGTGGACTTTTATACGGGAACAGTTTGGTCTTTATTGATGAACCATTATAACACATGGATTACAGCTTCCGAAATAAGGTAATATTTTGAACAAAAAAAAAACAACAACAACAGCAACAAAAATGGAGAAAATTGCCTTGTATCAGCTTTTGTAACTTGAGGTCTCCAGTCTCTCTGATGACGGTTCAACATGCGAAGACAATGAAATGAAAAAGGAATAAAAGCCGATACACTGAAGTAAAAATGGGGAACGAAATTGTCCCTGGTTCTAGAACATTACCATATTTCGGAAGGTTTCGGGGAACAGCCAAGTGCGGTAAATTCACGCGTCCTGAAAAGGAATTCGATGTTAAACGTCCTATGTTCGAGCCAATACGAAGGATGTATTTTACGAAGACTAATTGCGGCTCTGAAAATTCTTAAAGGAAATCTATTTACGGATGCTGATTTTATCGCTCATAGCACGCTAGTCGCCCTGATGCATATACGTTCCTTTTTTCGAAATCCGGCAAGTTTACCTGCCTCCAGTGGTCTGGAGAATGTATAAAGGGCATCTGAAAAGAATAAAAAAATAAGTGTTAAAACCGTGTTTCCGTAATCATACAAGAAGTAGCAATTAATTAATTTGCATAAGGTCCAGACTTCAGTTTAAGCACGTCCACGAAGAAGACGCTCCCTGGTAGAGTCGTTGGGTGGTCTGTAACTTTGTGGGCAGTCTCTGCACGTTCAAGAAAAGAGGTTGTTGGTGTAAAATCTGCTTGTGACGTCTTATTACACACCATCATGCGCAGCGTGTTTCGTACGTATTATTCCTCCTGTCAGCGTAAACGTGGTAATACGCCATCAAATGCCGAATCATATTCAAGTGCAGAATGATATATGCAGACACCTGACACTAGACCCAGCTGGATTGAAAGTGGACTTTAATTTTATTTGAACCTCTCAAAGTCAGTGCGCGCAAATGACGTTACGTCTTTATTGTGAATTTTATTCGAACGTTACTTTGCCCGTGCTCAGCTCCTATAAACGAATATTTGCGCTGCGCAGTTTCTTCCAAATTTTTTTTAGCACTTCACTGCGATTTAAAGGCGAGGTTAAATCCTTTTCTTCGTAGATTAATCTTTTTCTCTTCTAAATATTTCGTAAATCAAAGCCTGATAGGGAACGTAATAACTATTCATCGAGTTTTGGCGATTCTAACAGTTTTGGCGAGACCTGATGTAGATGATAAAACGAATTTGGATGTTTAACGCCATAAGGCGACGCACTTTAATCTTTGATTACTGCTAGTTAATAGAACCTAGAACCTTCAAGATATCTCGAAATTCCTCTTACAGATTTTTAAAAAATTTCAAACGGTAGAAAGCAAGCTCCCAGGCGAATAAAGAATGAAATTCGGTTAGGAGCTAAAACAAATGTGACGTCTTTGTCACATGGTACTCATTCCGATCGCGAAAAAATATTGTCATAATATAGTTCAGTATATATGTGATCCATGCATGTTTTATGATGGATTTTCATTGAACACCAAGCTGCTTTCGTATAAATAGTCCAGAGAACGAAGAAAATAATTACACCAGCAAAAATTCGGGTTCGAGTCACCTAATCTGCTTCAGTTTCTGATGTAACTAAGAGCTGAGCCTCATGCCGTAAGTATGAACTTAAACTGGAGCAACTTAAATCGCGAAGAGTAAGACTGCAATTGATCAGTTTGAAAGTAAGAACTGGTCACAAGAGACTTTCAGTCAAAGCTAGAGAACATGTACGAACTCAAATTAAAAACCTGTTTAAAAGTTAAATAACTGATTCTAGCTTTATTTCAAATATTCCCAGGAGCGACTGATATTTTAATGAATTAGATACGTCAATATCAGGGGGGAAGGGGGGGGGGAGGTAACTCTATTGTTTTCCACCTAAGTTTCTTGACCCACGCCGCCTGCCAGTATGACGTCACATAGTAACGGGCGAGAGCCTCGGGTCGCTTGTGCAAATTAGCAAGAGATACGACAGTTATTTGGACAAGCGAGGTCGAGGAAAAGCAAAGAAGCTAACAAATATCGCTATATATCGCTTATTTGATCGAAATTTGTGTGAGCTTTGGTGTCGCTATAATCTGCTTGTGTAAACCGTTTTGATATTTTGTGTCCGTGATTGTAAAATTTTGTTAATTTGTTTTGCGAGCCGCGTTGCGGGATCGCCATCTATTTCACGGGACCGGCAAGGCCGTCAAAACTTGAATCTTTTTTTTTCTTTAAAATAGGCAAGGTCTAGTATCCAGAATAGGAAGTTCCATTCACAGATCATGCATGTTTATATTTCATCTATTCTTTTGCTAATTAAATGGGCCTAACTCAGTTCATATCATTTCTTTCGAGCGCGGGCCTCTGTTGATCTCCTAATTCTCCACCAAATTCAGTAAAGCTAGTTCGATCGATTTATCTACATCGAGTCGGTCCGTTGAAGCGGAAATAATGCGAAATAGCTTTGAAATACGAGCTTAAGCTAATTTTTCCTCAAATGTGTATTTGAATTCATGATAAATACAGCTCTACCAGCTTCAAACAGCGTCTGTGGCAGAGAAAAATTGTTTTGATATGACAAAATTAATGTTTCAAATCATGTGGGTCACTGTGGTGCAGTGGTCAAGGAGTTTCTTGCACGTGCAGTTAAACCGGGTTCCACTCCCGGCGACGCTGCTTTCTGTTTCTTTGTACCGTTTTTTCCCCTGTTTGGTGTATTTTTCTTAAACACTATTTTTCCTTTTGGCCTTTTTTTCTTCATTCTTACTGCAGACCCTGCTGGTTATGCACGTGGATCTATATATTGTAAGCTTAAGTCCGGAGTTTTATTTTGGAAAAGGGATTTCAAAACTGTTGATCTGCATACTGGCCAAGCTTACGACCAGATAAAAACCATAAGCTGTCAAGACATGTCCCTCCTCTGAAACAGCTGAATTTTTTTCAATGTTATTTGACATCATGACAAACACACACAGTACACCACAAATTGTACTAATTTACAACCAACACCCACCAGTGATCCACCGGCGAAAGTTAAACTTGCCTTTTGTACATCGTCAATATTATTAATGTTAATATATATATTATTAATCATCAATATTATTACCCTAAAATCTCAACTGAGTTTGCCCCCAAGAAATAATTAAACGAAACCTTTTATTTGTTTTCGGGATTTAATTACAGAATTACAGGTTTATGCCCAATACAGTACTAAAATACAGTAAAGCAACAAGATTCAAGGCTCACAATCTGTCACAAATACCTGTCATTTAGCTTCCCCTTTCAACGCTACAGCTAAGCGAACTTTGAGAGGAATGGTACGGGGTTGCACTAGCTCTGAAGAGCTGAAAATACGCACAATGTAAAGTATAATACATCCTTTAATAACCCTCCTATTGCTGTGTCTAAACTCTTCAATCTTGCTGTGCACTGGCCTTCAAAAGTGTGACCGGTCGGTATGATTGCCCGTAAAATTTGCTCGACGATAGAAAAGAATCTTTAAAATTCATTACACCACTGGACTTTTCATTCCAAAACAGTACTTAAATCAAGTTTTCTATGACAATAGAAACCTTAAAATCTCCAAATGCAAGAAATCGGAACGGTATTTCCGTGATAAAATCGAAATTTTTATCCGTCTCTTCGATGAACACTTTGCTCGCCATTTTGAAAGTCACTGACGCGAGACTTGACGTCATCCTGGCAGGCGGACTGTACCACGGATTTCCTTGGAGACCTCCCCCCCCCCCCCGGTCAATATAAATGAAATGAGAAGTATTCAGTTTAAAATTACTTTTATTTCTATGTGCTTGTGACTTAATTTCCCAAGACACTAGATCTACATGTCTTTCTATAATTTCTCTAGCCTTTTACTTATGACAAATCTGATTCACTATAAAAAAATTTTGTAATTAATCCCTGTAATAGGATACTAGTCATATTTAGTAGGTTCGACAGCTACAGTCGTCAGAGTCGTACTAGGAACAGTATATTGATCATATCTCATATTACCTTTCGGGATTGTCGCGTGCACATTTTTTCCGACAACCTTTCTCGAAATAACTGTATACCCGCTTCCGTTTAAATACGCTTTAATAAAAACAGCAAACTTTGGAAAGGACATTCGTTTTAAATATTAACAGGCAGTTTGAATACACTACATTTTAAATCTGTAGTTTGTCATCGGAAAATGGCGCACATCGTTTAACATGATTGCCAGAGGTCTGGAAATGGTCAGGGAAATTAAAATTTCTTCAAGGTTCACTTCGAGTCAGGAAAATTTAATTTAAGGGAAAGGTGAAATTTTAAGGGTAAATTTGTACATATTACGGACAATAATCGTATTGCATTGGAAAAATATATGAAATTCACTTTTCTTTAGCTAATGCTAATAATGGCGCAAGGTTTAAAAGAAAAATGGTTTGAAAATGACTGTTTTTGCTCATTCAAACAACAAACAAACTTGTGAATGAAGCTGCCAACGATTCCGCCCGGGTTAGCGGGCAAGATCTTAAAATACCGCCCGCTCTCGCAATCAATCAGATCGCAGGATTTGGAGGATTCCGCCCGCTCGCAAGCTTGGAAAAAAATAAAGAATATTATTTTAACGAAAATTTTACCAACGTAAGAAAAACTTGGGAAGGTGTTAATAGCCTTACTGAATCGCAAAAAGAATAAAAGCAAGACCATAAATACTCTACAAAACTTTGGCAGTAACACAACCACCGACAATAAATCAATAATTTCTAATGTTCTTAATAAGCATTTTACAAGTATTGGAACAAAATTAGCTGCAAAGCTCCCAAACTCAGAAAAGGACTTTACTCAATTCCTTTATTAAAACAAATCTCCTTCT